TTTATTTTACTTAAGTAGGAATACACATTCTACCAAGCAAATGTATAATTTCTTTACTGTAATATTTACTATATTTATTTTTGTAAACAACCAAATCTTTCTTAAGGTACAAGCTGTTTGTTTGTTTTGTTTAATATATGTTTTGTTTGTTTCAAGGACTGAGCCCTTAACTGTAAGATTTAGATGATAAGTAGATACAGAGTTTTATTCAGACATTTTGTGGCAGTTGCATTCTGACTCAACTGACTGGAGGTTACTTTCCTGTTCACCTTTCTTATTTATAAAATAGTTTTTGACCACTCACCAGGAAGCTCTTTGGATGGCTGCTTCTTCACAATCCTGACTTCAGAGTAAGTGGTTTCATGCGGTGAGGAAGCGCTGCCTGCAACACAAACCACAAAACAACCCAACTTTCTGTTAAATGAGCTCTGAATATATACACATTTCACTCAAATGACAGAAACACATGTGTCTTTTCCTTTTTAGAAAAGGTAGGTTTTTGTTTTTAAGGAATAGGTAGATAGATAATTAGATAGATAATTATAGGACTCACCATGAGTATTTCCATTGTCTCTTTTGAACCTTAAATCAGAGTACAACACTTCAGCTTCAGGCATTTTATCGCTGTGATCATCAGTGTCTTTAGGGAACTAGAGGAACGCTTCACTGCACACTGTTAAATTAAGAAAATGCTGGGGGAGGGCTTTATACAGAGTTCCTCAAAATCTAACAAATGTTATATGAGTTATTGGTTTGTATTTTACTGCCAGCTAAATAAATAAATGATTTGATTTTAATTGTTTAGTCAAGATAACTTCATTACAATTATATTTGTGAACATTTTTGTTAATTTATTTGGATTTCTTCACAAATACAAATAAAAAAACTAAGAAAAACAAATACAAAATATAAGAATATAATACAAATAATACAGAATATTAAAAATAATTAAAAACATACTACATATAAATATTATCATATGCTTTATAGAAATGTCACACGCATAATACTACATACATTCCTGATTTAAAAAAAGTAAAACATGTGACATCTTACATTTTTAAAATACTTAACACATTTGACAACAAAAAGTATCCAATAATGAGCAGCAACTAATCAGAAGAAAAATTTGAATGAGAAAACAAAAAAACCTTATTTATATCATCATCAATTGTTTCACGTTTTTTTATTTGTATTATAGTTTAATTTAATTTAACAAAAGAAACATCCCTGATGGAATCCATGTCGGATATTACACAAGAGCCATCACCCAGATTTCCTCCAATCAACGCTCACAATTAGTGACAGAGCAGTCTCGCGGCCAATCATAACAGCATTAGGGGGCGGGGTTTAGTCGCTGTAGCAGACAGGAGGCGGAGACGTGTCCTTTCCTGGCTGAACTTGTGTGAGGTGTCAGTAGGACGACAGACAGACTTTATTAAAGTTTCTGCCCTGCTGGTGTCCCGCTCCAGACATGCCCCCCAGCGCGCAACTGAAGGAGGCGATAGCCGATGTGCAGGAGGGGAT